TTTTAAACATACAACTGAAATTTTTCACAGAGTGAATCAATATTGTCGAGATAATTTTATTCCGTTTGGAAAATAATACATTTTATACGAATGACTAATCTTATTCTAGCCTCTATAAGACTAAATTGTGGCTATCTGCTTTATTAGAAACTCAGTATCTTTAAATTCAGCGGTTTCACATACAGGTTTCACAAATAAAAATTTATTTTCAATGTTTGTTGTTTGTACTAATTTTGTTGTGCTAAAACGATAAAAGTTTTCATTTCCTTGTTGAAACAGTGAATCATTTCCATATGAATTCTTTACTTTTTTCTTTCTGAAATTCTAAAAACGTGAGTCTCCAATGAAACATGTACCCACAAATTAAAAGATACACACCAAAAGCCAAACTTGAAACAAAACACTAACATTTAAGTACACATTTATTTAAATAATATTTTTTATCTAACAACTTTATTATAAAATAGTAACTTTAAAAACAATGGAATATTTTCATTTTAAATATTAAATAGCACCACGCCACACAATTTTTTTCCATTTTTGTACAATGAAGCTTTTGGCGTGTCTCTTATTTTATTGCCGAGCAGCCCGCGATTGGCTTCTGATATGTTGTTGATTAATTTTAAACGAGGCAATGCAAAGCAATGCGCAGCTGGAAAAGGCCTAAATCGCGGACCCACTTCGAGAATTACAACTACAGACGCAACAAAATAATAACCTTATTTTCTCGGTAGTTGTAATTTGCGTTGAAAGCATCGGCCTATGAAACGATCCAAATGTCATCATTTTATAATTTACTACGTCAGTAATTTAGGCCAACTAGATCTCATAAGCATATAAAAAAGGAAAAATAATTAGTTTCTGGCCATAGAAGTTATCTATTTCGAGTAGGACGTTACTAAAATGATTGCTAGGATCGATTCACTTTTGTCTTTTGCTAAACTTATTCCTACCACTTAATGCAATAATTAACACAGTTTGCAGATATCAAAATATATAAATGAAAATTATATTTTTGGTTAACTTTAAACTACCTACAATTACCGTATTGCTCTGGATTGACATAATATTTATAAATACTTCGGCATTACCAAAAAAATCGCATTGACATTAGTATTGACATTTTATATACCTTTGGTCAATTTTCTCACCAAAACCGATATCATCGGTTAAACCTAAACCCTATACCGATACTCAAATATAATGACTAAATTATAATATATATTTTTTATCATATTCGATAAATAACCTCTAAGTAATTGACTTTATTTTTCAGAAACTATTAAATATTTGTCGGGAGTAATATAGAAAGCAAGAAAAAATTATCGTTACTACAACAGAAAAGACTAATAAATAAAATAAAATTTAAACAGTACGTATTCACGTCACTATGTTTGCTTATCGGTTACTAACCTCGTAACCTCTTCCAGTTTGAGGTTCAATAAATTATTCGCAACATTTCACGGAAATGCGCGCTACCTACTACATTAATAATTCATCTACAAGTCAATCGTTGCGACATTACTAATAACTAACATCCATTCACTGGCTGGGCTAGCACAACTTTTTGTTTGCTAAGTTAACACAAGTTAATAATTCTTATGTTTCCAAACGGCTGATGTTAAAGATTTTAGTAAAAAAAATTATATATGCCTACCAAATAACTGCCTTTAAAAACTACATTAAATAAATCATCTATGTTTATGCAGAATAGAAACTTAACGAATGAGTTCATCGCAATAAACGGTAATAATAAAATATTGATTTACTGAATAAATTACAATAAATTAATTATTTTAAATCTTAAACACAAACACATAAATAACAAATATGAAACCCGAAGAAAAACAAACTAAAATGATATCTGCAATATGTAAAAGGGTTTTTTTTAATTATTATGTTGACAAATTGGCTGGAATTTTTTAACAATTGTTTTGGTTTTTCTATTTATTTTCGTATGACGTTATATATCCAATGACTATTTTATGGTAATTAATAATAAAAATAGAGAAAATGGTACTCACATTTCGCAGTTTATGTCCTTGAGATCTGGAAAACAGCAAAAGTTTATTAAATGCCAACATGAATGGATATTAGCTACGCTGCCCTTATTTCAATCATTCGAACTATATTATGTAATTAGTTTATATCGTGGTGTTTTGTACTGAGGAGACATTAAATTACAAGCATTTGCATTTTGCAGTCAGTCAGACAACAATTATGATAATATTTATATAACAAGCCTATACCGGCGAAAACAGAACTTAAAATAATAAAATTATAACACACCTTTTTAACCACATGGAGAATTACACCATGGATGACGAATGCGTCTACCGTCTTGGATTATTAAACTATAAGACAAAGCCAACGAAAATGTACAAGGAACAAATACAAAAGTAATTTAGATTTGCTATTAATTTTGAGTTTGGTTTGGGTTGAAAACTAATAATAAGCGTCTTAGAGCGCTCGTCATCCACATATATAGAATATTCACATAATAACAGGAAACATTTATATAATATATATTTTAAATTGATCTTGCCTATACTAACAATTAGACAGATCTAGGGTATGAATGTTACAATGAGAGGAAATACGAATAGGAATTTCTACAAGCTACACAGACCCGTCAGTGTGGTGGAGCAAAGCATGTAAAAACCGACACTTGCAACGACAAAATTTGTTAGTTTCAATTAAATATCTAAAATCAGCTACAGTGTGTTTGTACAGGATGGCACATTTTAGTTGGGATTGCAGATTACAGATTAAACAACGATAAATGGAAATAAATTAATACAAGTATCTCGTGCTACTTTTTCAGTTTAATTTAATGGTGCAAAAATCTCCTGAGTAACTTCACCGATTTCTTTTGATCGTTATTTGCCTAAAGATTCTTATATATTTTTTTCCGCAAAACACAATGAATTTTTCCTTAATTTCATGTTTTCTGAGAAATGATATTGAAGTTTGTTATTTATAATGGAATACCTACCCCTTAATATTTTTAAAATATAGCTTGAAAACTCATTACCATAATATACTGCCTTTATTAGAAAAAATTTTCAAAATATGTTTTCGAAAATCTACAAGATTTAAATCTGGAAATTGAAAGAAATATTAAAATGTGTAATAATTCCTCTCATAAAACTAATTGTAAACAGTTATTTTTATGTAGACAATATTATATGTTGAAAAGAATAAAAAATAAATTAACGCAGTACAAAAATATAGTGTTTCAATAAAAATATCAAACATAACTGGAACTTTACCAAAAGTAAGAAATTAAGAAGAAAAAACGGCAAAGTGGTCTATTGAAAAAAATTGCATAACAACTAGGTATTTGGACATTTTTAGATATTTGATTATAACAACCGAGATATGCCAAATGGAAATTGGTCAAAATCCTCAGCATTTCGAAACCCAATCAAGTTAGTCAGGATTTGCTGCGCCCTTAAACTTAGATTAAAAAAAAATTTTAAACACTTCGGTATATTTCTTCCTACCACTGTTTAACCTGTATCCCCAAACTCCAACAAAAATGGGGCACCATGTACAATATTTGTTATAAATACTTAAACGTATGAGAGCTAAATTATAATACATGGTACATATCACATGAACTAAACTGATTTAAGGCGGTTTCGAGATATTTATCCCTTCATCGAGATTTCAGTATTAGTGACTTGCAGTTAAAATGAGATTAAAGAGTTCAGTCGCTCTATCTATAAGATTTCTATAAGAACACTACATTACGTATGGAATGAGTGACATCTTATTTACTAAAGTCGACAATATTTGTTACATTTCATACTAGAATTCTGCTCGTCGTCACAAGACTTATTAGACTGGCTGTTCCACCTCACTGAACATTAATAACAATAATAATTATTTACAAACTCCTTAAATAATAGAATTAATATTTTGTATACATTTATCGCGCAACACCGCGTGACGATACGTAACATAAAATTACATTTTATTGGTATTTTATAAATAATACAGTATATATATTATCTAACGCAATAATAATAAAATTTATATAAAATAACTATCGTAAATTTAAAATAAAAGTTAAAACGATAAAATAATGAATTTACCACGGCAACGCCTCAAATTTTTATGTTATTGACGCGATTGCCTTTTTGGTCCTTAATTATAATAATATGTGAGGATAATGTATCCCATTTTAAGATACCCTGTAATACATCATATGTAATATAACGCAAGACGTTAACCAATAGTGCCTGTGTTTGGTGGAGAGCCGCGTGACCGAAAGCCGTCAAGGAACTGACAACACATTGTTCTACGTATTTGTAGGGCATGCAATAAAATCAATAATGTTATAAGTAGTATACGTACAAGACGATTCCACTTTAAATTCTGAAATTACAGCAGTGGATTCCTCATTGAAAATTAAATGTAATTTGCTCTATACAACTTTGAACCAGAAGGCATAGTTTTCTAGTAATTACGGTATCCAGGGTGTTACCAGGATAATACATTTAATGTCCTGTTACCTAGTTCCTTTTTTTCATGCAGCTGTTAGATATTCGTTTGAGATTTAATCTGCGTCGATGTTAATAAATGTTACTTGTAAGATTGTTACGTCTTACGGCGTTATTTTTCATTTAATGCATCTCACAACAGGACAATTATTGCAATATAATAGAGTAGTAGGAGACTAAGTTTTGAAAAAGGTGTTTAGATATACAGGGTGTTAATTAAGTATGTACAATAAATTCAACAGACGATTATTTGAGTGATTTTAAGACAAAAAGTTCATATAAACATTGTTCCGCAGATGCCTCGTTTTCAAGATACAGGGTATTAAACTTTTGTAAAAAATTGCTATTTAAGATATTTACGAAATAGCAATTTTTTTTACAAAAGTTTAACAACCTGTATCTTGAAAACGAAGCATCTGCCGATCAATGTTTATATGAACATTTTGTCTTAAAATCACTCAAATAATCGTCTGTTGAATTTATTGTACATACTTAATTAACATTCTGTATATTTTGTCCGGAAAAAAATTGCTACTTAGTTATTCCGAGAAAATAATAGTAAATTCAGATGGTACTGTCTAAACCTGACCAAAAACGTCTCTTACTATTTTTGGAGAAAAAGCTCAGTTAACCAGTTATCACTTTTTTTTTTGTAACGATGGAAATTCTGTATTTTAATCGACAAACTTATTGAGTTTGTCATTTTTTTGGCTATTGAAAAAAAATTATGCACTACTAATAAATAACAAAAAACGACTTGTTGGTTAACCACCTCGCTAACCTGACTTAACTCCATTAGACTATTTTGTCTCGGAAGTTCTGAAATATAAGAGTGATAATACCAGTACAAACTCTAAAAAAAACAAATATATTATGCTCATCAATGATCTCTGCAGATTCTTAATGAAAGGTTTCCAATTTAAGTTGTACTAAATTTTATTCAAATCTCTACGATTCCTGGTATCTAACGAAACTGTTTTCAATTTTAATGTCTTGTATTTCAAAAACTAAACTTCCTGTGGCAAAAATTTATATAGCAGCATACATTTGTCTTCCAAAAAGGGAATTCATTGCTATAGAATTTGAAGTGAAATCGCCAAGTCTAATATGATACTATATTTGGCAGCGGAGAAATTTAGGCTCGCTTATTTACGACTTTTCACCACTTTTCAACATTCCTTCACTAGATTATGCTGATCTAGTTCCAAATTAGCATAAATGCCTAGTGATGGGAATTTAACAACGCTAAAAACACATTTCACACAGTTAACCAAATTAGCGAATGTTATTTCAAACCTAAACCGACTAAAATTTGCGTCGTTCAATTCCCACCAATTCTAAGCATACTCTGAGTCTCATTCACAGAAAGATTATTCTACAGTTTTACTTAAAATAGGCCAAAGTTGGACAGTTAGTGGATAGTAGTAAGACTACGGAACACAAATTTTTTTTTAATTCAATGTGAAAATGGTTATTAGATAAAAATGTTTTGTATTTAAATGTTTTGGTCATTTCAGCATACTGTGATGTTGGTGTAACAGTTTTTTGATAATATTATTTTGATTTTTCATAAAAAAGTATTACTTAGACTGAAGGAATAACTTAAGTGTCTCAAAACATTTCGATTCATCTGAAAAAAAAAATCCAAGCGATTTGGTACTAAAAAGTAAAAAGTAAGAAGCTATTAGTATGATTCATATAATATATAATTATTATTATTAATGATTGGAAACAAATTTCAAGATTTATCCGAAAAAGTAATGCGCATGTGCTAGTGTCAAAATCTAAGAGTAAGTCTTGTTGTTCTTAACGTTTGGCTTAATTCGTATTTTCGTACAAACTTTTCTATTACGGTAAATCTTACAACTTGCCTGCTGCATGTGGACATCATTAAGACTTAGTTTTTTATACCTTTTTTTTCATCAGACGCCAAAATTGATACCTAATACCTTTCATGTCAATTGTTCTGTAAAATATCGACACTGATGACATTGCTTAATTATTGTGCTTTCAACTTTGCCCTAATTTATTGGTAAACTTATTCTGCAATAAGAAGCTAGTTGTATTCTGCATTTCAGGGAAAGAAACTCTAACGGTTTATCATTTCCATCCGTACACCGATAACATGATTTGAAGGAGCGCCTTGAAAGTGACGATATGTCTTCAGAATGTGTTGACAACCGCCCACAATAAAGGGATATTCGCTTGGCGGCTGCCGATGAGCGGGGAAGCGGGACGCATACACCAAACATTACAACAACAAGTGGGCCTCGCCTGGCGGGGGTGCTACATTATTATATTATTATACATAAAGTGAATGTACAGGTGCAGTTGTGATGACATCACAGTAGCTGCCGTTTCGGGTCACACAACACTAGACAGTCCTGAAACTCAATGGTAGCCGTTGGTGAAGGCAGCTGGAATTAAGGGGCCCTGGAACAAAATTGGTAGGTGACAGAAACAAAAAAGGAAGAAATTAACAGCGTATTACCGGTGTATTATCATTTTACGTATTAAGATTAAAAATAGAATATTCTCGGTTGTCTATTTCCAATTAAAAAATAACGGATTTTTTAAACATTTTTGTTTCGAGTATGTTTTTAAAACAGTGGCAAAAATAAGATTTCACACAACATTGGGCAAAGGCAAAGGCAACAAAGTAATCACATTTTTGTGATTGTTCCATATTTAGAAACAAATTGTGGACTATTTTGGTGCTGCGTGTATTAGTATCTTGGAAACTATAAGAGATAGGAAAATGGTTAAAAAAGGGAAAGTTTTAGACAGTTCTGTTGCTAACTTAATGGCGCTTGCAAACCGGTACTAGCTCTTCAGGTTTTTGTGTTATATTGCAAATAAGTAAATGTGGCGTTTCCGAAAATGGTCTGTAACTTTTTTATTTAGAGGAATTTTTAATATCAGAGAACACTTTCTCTTTTTTTCGAGGAATTTCACTGTATATTTAGATTTTTATTGCGACGTTTGGGTTGCGAAGAACCATCAACAACTTTCTCTTTTCTTTGGGCGCCATATTGAATTTTAAGTTGAGCATATTTTGGCTTTTCAATGACATAATTTCAAAAACAACCTGCAAAATAAATATTTTAATATTTATTTTGCACGTTGTTGCTTTAATAAAATCTGGCAACACCGCATAATTTTTCGAAACTATTACAGTGTAGTCTCAAATATTTGTAGTAAATCAATAACGTCATGGCGTTGAGTGAAAAAATTACGCTTTGCGTCGTTATTCCAATGAGGAAAAATGTGATATGTTGAAGTGTTATACACAGGGTGATTCATTAACAGTGGGAAAATCGAAAGCTGAAGATACTACACGTGAAATGGTAACCATTGGCGCAAAAATGCCTTATCCGAAAGTTGATAGTTTCGGAAATACAGGGTGTTGAAAGTTAAAATTTAAAATCGTTTTTTTGCGATTATTCTGAAAATATCTAGTTTAGGAAATTTGTGAAACTATGGTTTTTTAGGCGACGAATAAAATGCGTGTTGTAATTTCAGCATTGCTCATAGAGGGCGCCACTTACGACCAATTTTACCGAAAATTTAGTTAATAACTTTTTACCCTGTATGTCTAACATGAAACTTAATTCAAAACCTGAAAGATCAATCATTTTTCCATTAATTGTGTATTCTTATCTCATTTCGGTATCTCGATCCGTTTTCGAGAAAAATCGATTTATAACGAACATGTTTTGATAATACGAGAAATTAAAAGCGAAACAAACCAAGTGTTTCTTCGTTTATTACAACAATTAACAATAAGACAAATGAAATTCGTAATAACGATTTAAAGTCAGTGTTCGAAGAATCCACCGTTGACATTTACACACTTTACACAACGTTTTCTGAGAGATCTTCGAGTTTGAAACAACAGCTTCGAAGTCAAACGCAATCCCAATGGATTGCGTTTGACTTCGTTGGCAGCGTATTCTTTGCCACAACTCTTCACACGAACCAATAGATTCTTCCAAATAGAAAAATGAAGAGGATTGAAGTCCGGACTTCTGGTTGGCCAAGTAAAAATGCTTCCACGGTTTGAAGAAGTTCCACTTTATTTAAGAAGAGACATGTGGTTCATGTACGACGGAGCTCCACTGCATTTTTCTTGGCCAGTGCGTGCATATTTAGATGCAGTTTTTCCAAATCGCTGGATTCGCCATGTAAGCATTTTTGCTTGGCCATCCAGAAGTCCGGATTTCAATGCTCTTGATTTTTCTATTTAGTCTCGAATGAAAGATATAGTTTACAAAGAATCTATTGGCTCGTGTGAAGAGTTGTGGCAAAGAATACAAATCGCTGCCAACGAAGTCCGACGCAATCCCAATATGTTGTTTCACACTCGAAGATCTCTCAGAAAACATGTAAAGTGTATCAATGTCAACGGTGGATTCTTCGAACAATTACTTTAAATCATAATTACGTATTTTATTTGTTTTATTGTTAATTGTTGTAATAACACGAAGAAATTACGTATTTTATTTGTTTTATTGTTAATTGTTGTAATAACACGAAGAAACACTTGGTTTGTTTCGCTTTTAATTTCTCATATTATCAAAACATAGTGTTCGTTAAATTGATTTTTCTCGATAACGGATCGAGATGCCGAAATGAAACAAGAGTACATAATTAATGGAAAAATGATTGCTCTTTCAGGTTTTGAATCAAGTTTCATGTTAAATATACAAGATAAAAAGTTATTAACTAAATTTTCGGTAAAATTGGTCATAAGTGGCGCCCTCTATGAGCAATGCTGAAATTACAACACGGATCTTATTCGTCGCCTAAAAAAATATAGTTTCACAAATTGTAAAGTTCCTAACCTACATATTTTCAGAATAATCACAAAAAAACGATTTAAAATTTTAACTTTCAGCACCCTGTATTTCCGAAACTATCGGATAAAGCATGTTTGCGCCAATGGTCACCATTTCACGTGTAGTATCTTCAGCTTCAACAATCCAATAGCATCAACAACATTATGTAGGTAATAGAGAAATAAACATTGGGTTTAATATTAAAAATATTAAAATGTTGATTTTTGAGGTTATTTTTGAAATTTGTTCTTACTTATATCATTGAAAAGCCAAAAAAACGTTCTATTTGCTCAGCTTAAAATTCAATATGGCGCCCATAAAAAAAGAAAGTTGATGATGGTTTCTCGCAACCGAAACGTCGCAATCTAAGTATACAAAAATTACAGACGATTTTCGAAAACGCCACATTGACTTTTTTTCAAAATAATTCAAAACCTGAACAGCTAAGACCGGTCTGCAAGCGCTATTAAGTTAGCAACAGTCTGCAACTTTCCTCATTTAACCATTTTCCTATCTATTACATTTTCCAAGATACCAATACATGCATCGCCAAAATGATCCATACTATGTACGTGACGTAATAGAGAGATACGTCTATCAATGGTCACTGCTACTCAGTGTCTATTCTTGCCTTCATTCGTCCTACACCTGCATGAAGCGACCTGCAATATCACAGGTACTATTAAAGTACGACCTCTCATCAACAAGGCGAACCTAAATTTTTTAACTGAAGATAAATATAAGAAACAATTACTCTGTGTTCCATCTGTCGCGGCCAGTATTGAAGTATAGCCTCTATGTCTAGGTAAAATAGTTCGCCAGTCGATCCGCTAAATATAGAATTATTTCGAAGTTATTGGTCCTCATCAGTATGCCATAGGTGAAACAACAGAAAGTAAGTACTTACCTTCTGTTTTGAGCTAAAATAGTGAAAATAGCTGAATTGTTCATCGGTTGCCTCACCTATGTCTTACTGATGAGAACCAATAATTCCGAAAACGGTCTATGCCTGGTGTGTTAGCTGGCAGGCGATCCTAGCTTTCTACCTAGAAGTTACAGGTATATTTCAATTATGGGCTGGGGTAAATAGCCAGTAGAGTAGTTGTTCAGTCTAAAAATAATTGTTTATAGAATTACTAAAGTTTATTTCTACTTTGTTATCTCCTAATAGATACTCTGATCAACGTTCAGTTTTGTCCTATACTTCCTTCTATAGGAACAAAATTATTAAAAAAATTTCATTAAATACTTAATCATCACGTATTTGAGATTCAGTCCAGTTTTAGAAATATTTTAAAGATATGTTAGCCTAAAAGACTACCTCTAAAATTTAAAAGTACAATTTTTTTTGTATACTATCATTACGCTTATGACGTAGGTACTATTTGATAACAGTCAGGTCATAGATTGAGAGAAACCATACAGCCACTCCTCAAATGTGTTTCCTTGAAGTTCTCATGTGTTTTGTGATTAGTTTAGACTATGGTGCAAAATACATTTTTGTATTTTTACCCGAAATTCGCTTTCATCGTATCAATGCCGTACCGAAGAAATCCCAGAATTTGAGGAGTTAACAGCTGACATATACCTAACATTTTTGTCATTTCGGAAAACACATCGGTCTCTTCTTCATCTAAATCATTGGCATACAAGATTCTCATATCTCAATCCTTTAGATTTATACTTGTGAGGCCATACATATATTCAACAACGCATTTTAATATTGGCTAAAACCAATGTGTTTAAACTTCAAACTTTGAACGTTTAATATAAAAAATAATAAAAAAAATGACATTGCGGTGTACAAAATTTTTCACTAACATTTAGCATATAAAATTTTATCTACAAAATGAATTTCTAATGGGACAAATAAAACAAAAATACTGTTTTATAGAATTTCATTAAAAAAATCGAAGTTAGAATTGTCAAAACTTTGCAATGTTCTGATATGTTTTTTTTTTCGAAAACGGTTGTTTTGGATACAGGTGGTAAGTAATTTTTATGGACATAATGATGCAAATAATCGACTTCAACCTGTATGGGTATTTTACTTAAAAAAGTTGATAGCTACATCTAGTAAATCCGGAAGTCAGCAATATTCAGGAAAACATGTCGAGAAGTACCAATATTATTTTTTTTTTATTTAATTGAATTCTATATTAAATCGAATCAAAGGTGTTTGTGATATATTATATTCTCGGTATATATAGGTAGTACAAATTTCACCGAGAAAAAAAAATTACACACAGAGAAAAGTTTCAAAATGCAAGATACTATCTACTTATCACTAAAGAATTATTTCGGTTATGAATGACTACATGAAAAACTGAATAAATTAATAAATGTGTACTAAACGTACTATTGGAAATTGTTTACTTATATAAAATCAAAGAGAAATATGTTAAAATGGAGGAAAAAAGTAGTGTTACATGGCAATAAAGAAGCTGACAAGGTAGCTAGGAGGGCATTGGGTCTTACTATCTTTGGACCCGGTCCCTTCAGTATGCTCTCGTTGTCAGCACTTTTAGAAATGATTAAGGAAGACACTCACAAGGAGTTTAGAATACGGTGGGATGAAATAAACAGCTGTCGATT